AAAAGTTATTTAAAAGTCTTTTCAAATTCTATTTTTTTTTTATATTTAATGTATATTTATAGAGTTAATTCCAGCAATGGTCCTCCGACTATGTTGATTTTCCAAAATTAGTCCTTTACTTTTAATTTGGACATTTTACGTCCCTTGACTTTCAATTTCTTTCCAATTGAGGTCTTTTCGTCAGATTACGGCAAATTGGACTTTAAATAAAAGGGTAAAGTAGTTATTTCATCGGCCTAATGTATAATTCTTTGTATTTCTTCCATTTATACGCGACTTCGGACATCAAATTCACTTAATTGCTTAATTCCTAAATCCACTCTAAGAACAAAATTCCATTAGGGATTAAGCAATTAAGTGAATTTGATGTCCGGAGTCGCGTATAAATGGAAGAAATACGAAGAATTATACATTAGGCCGATGAAATAACTACTTTACCCTTTCATTTAAAGTCCAATTTGCCGTAATCTGATGAAAGGATCTCAATTGGAAAGAAATTGAAAGTCAAGGGATGTAAAATGTCCAAATTAAAAGTCAAGGACTAATTTTGGAAAATCAACATAATTGGAGGACTATTGCTGGAATTATTTTAAGAATTAATTTTTTATTTACTCATTATTATTAATTTTTATTGTATAATACATCAAATTCATTCCCTTAATTAGAAAAATCAAAATCCATTTTAATCTAATCCAAACGGAGATAAATTTCAGTTGTTATAGCATTGACCAGGGTCCACCTTACAAGGTGTACCTTGGTCCTAAATTGTATATTAGTATTGAAATTGTGAACATTTATAATATAAACTAGTTTTTTACGCGCATTGCGCGATTGGAATAATGTCCAATGCTTTTTTGTTAAATAAATACTTTAAAGTATATTAAGGTAGGATTATATTGAAATTGTTCATGCATAGATAATTGAAGGTTGAATTTGCGTATTTAAATAGGTAATTCTTCTCCCAAATGTTGAGTCCCCCACACTCCGACCCGACAGAGCATTGTGGGAAGTTGTAAATCACGGTGACTCAATGGTTCAGCAGACAGGGCCAAATGCTGATACGCACAAGGAATCTGCCCACTTTGGACATAATTCCCGCACTGTCGCCGCCGAGGTTCAAACCTTGGTCTCTTCTCTCAAATACTACCCACTAAACCATTGAGCTAAGCCCGTGCGAGTTAAATAGGTAATTCTAAGTTTACAAATGCAAGATAATATAGTCAAGATTGATTATAATTGTCAATAAAATAATTGTATAGGTATAGTTGAAACCAAATACGGGACATAAGGGAGAACAAATAAAAATTAAGACATAAAATATTAAATATATACTAATATTGTTTGAGGAGATTCCGACATTAGGATTTGTGGTTAAGTAATTATATTAAGACTTTAATATTAGAATTAGATTAATGGTGTAGTTATAATTCTATATTAGACTTTAATATTAGAATTAGACTAACGGTGAATTAACGGAAAAGTTAAATGGATAATCATATAATTAAGGATAAATTAGAAAATCTTAAAAGAAAAAAAATTAAAACCTGAACAATATGAACCATTCATTTGATTTAATAATTTGGCGGTCATTTTTTCTACCCAATGTTAATAATTAAATAAATTCGCTGGTCAAATTCGCTAGTATAATCCGCTAACGCTAACCGCTAACTGCTGATTGTCAAACAAGGACATTGCGAGGTAGTTCTCACTTCAATTTGTTGTGTGATTTGAATACTCTCTTTGTCACAAAATCTCTCTAAGTAGTTAATATGGTTGGCTTTATTAATTATATATTTTTAATTTTTTCATGGTATTAATAAAATACTTGGTAAATAAATATATAGCATTATTTTGTATTATAACTTTGATATTTAATTAGAAAAAGAGTGCACAAAAAAAGATAATAGATAATGTAGTGAATATAATCAATTGATGAATTTGAATGTAAACATTTTTACATTTGAGAAAAATTAAGACAATATAACTAATGAAAATATTTCTTTTAATTAATTTATTGATAATTAATAATTTTTTTTTTCACTGAATAAAGACATTGTAAGAACAATGTAGCGAATATAATCAATTAATAAATTTGAATATAAAGAATTTTTATATTGAAGAAAAATAAAGACAATATAACTAATAAAATTATTTCTCTTATTTAATTTATTGATAATGAATAATTTTTTTTTTTTGAATAAAGGCATTTTGGACACATAATTCTAAATTAAAGAAATGCATATGTATTATTTTTTGTTGTAACTACTAAATTATTATTTATATAATTTAATAAAAGTAAAATAGAGTACTAATTATGCCAACATTGATTGGGATGAGGTTCGAACCTAAGACTTTTTTTTTATTGAAATCAATGAGTAAGTTAACGGTGAACTAACGGCAATTCTTAAAATTTTAGCGGAATTAGTAACGGTGTGTGGGTATTTTAAGAAATTTTAGTGTAAAATTTAAATCTGATCAATCTTTTAATCAATCTGAGCTATTCATTTGATTAAAATTTGTGACCGCCATTTTTTCTACCCATTATAAGCCTAACTCTCATGGACTCTTATTAGTATAGTAGATAGTAGATAGTAGATTTGTGAATACAATATCTGGTCATCACAATTTGTGAAATTATAAATAGTAAATTGTAAATATTTAATATGTAAATTATGTATCTTTGAACTTGAATCCATTTTATAAGGTGACCTCGGATCCACAAAATAATTTACAGATGAATTTGATACATAAAAATATACGGAGTAATCACTTAAACTACCAATTTATGCTACTTTTTTCAACACTATTATTATTATTATTTTAAAAAAGACGTGTAGAAGTTGAAGAGTTTAAAAGTGCAGCAGTGATGGGTGATGCTTGGAGCTTTTAAGAATGGTCAACAGAATTGGGCTGAGGATAAGAAACCCACAAAATTGTCATTTTCTGTGGATTATTGGGTCAATATAGCTCGGATTTTGACCCAGATATGGCTATTACAAAAGTCTTTTTTTTTTTTTTTTTTTTTTTTTCAAAAAAAAATTTTGTTTTAAGTGTTCAAACACAGTTATAAGAGCAACAACAATGGTAAAATTTATTGTCCGGGAGCAAAATCAAGTGGCTGACTTTATCGCCAAAATCTCACATCGTTTTGTCAGGGATATTCACTTGTTTAGCAGCCTGCCTGTAGAACTGCTTGGGCTGTTGGAGGATGATACGCTTTCTTTTCCTATCTGGCGGAATATCTGTAATCCTTAACCATGTTTGTAGCTCTCTGTTTCCCCCTTCCTTACATATATAAAAAGTCTATAGGTTAATTTTGACTTATTTGACTACTATTAGTTGTTTGACTTGGTTTAAAAATCAGTATAAGTGTTTGGTTAGTTAGCTTTTTGTACTCTAAAATGTTAAAATTCAAAAAGCTACTCAAAAGCAACTTTTTCAATTAGCTTTTCGAGAAAAGAAACTATACCAAACAGCTATCAGCTAACAGCTAATTTACCAAACAACTTTCTACAATCAGCTAATGTTATCGACTAGTTATACCCTCTAATTAACCCAATCAGCTAAGCTAACAACCATTTACCAAACAGGGCTTAAATAATGAAATACTTGAGGTAAATCATCTTAAAAGTTATCCATAACTGATCGGCAACTCTCATGGAGAGTCAAACTTATAATATTGTAGCTACACAGTCAATTGCCCAACCAACTTCAGTGAGGTTGTCCCATATATATGTGGACTATATATATTAGATTGTTTTACTAATTAAATAAAACGCAATATCACAACATCAATAAGGAATCAAGGTAAACTCGATGCTAGGTAGCTGAGTTTCTAATGTAGGGGTACAAGTTGAGAAGAGTTTAAATAAGTTCTAAATCAATAATTGTTTATAAAAATTGTATTTTTGGTCCTTCAGTTATACTTGTAGTACAAACGTAGTTCCTGAGTTATATGCGTGACTATCTTTAATATTTAAGTTATGCACGAAGTGACGATTTTAGTCTCTCAGGGAATATTTCTATCACCAATTGTCACTTAATAAAGTGGCTAATTTAATCCTTCAATGACTAAAATCGTCACTCTATGCATAACTTATGATAGAAAATATACTCCGATTTTGACTTCCCTATACGTTCGTACTCTCATTTTGTAGTCAGATTAGAGTCAAACAAATTCGGATCCCGATCCACAAGTCAAAATCAAACCTGTCACGCTTTGGCCTGTATAAAGAACCTTAGCCCTCCATTTTAGGGGCTGCTCTCCTTTACTCTCTCTCTCTCTACAGACTCTCTAAGGACTTAATAAAAGAGGCTCTTAAGCCCAATTTCCAGGGGCTTTTTCTCTATTCTTGATAGGTGTTTATACATGTTCATACCAGTGAATGTTTATACAATTAGTTCTATCAACTTAAAAGTTAAAGATGGTCACGCATATAACTCGGAGATTAAGTCTATACTACAGATATAACTCAAGGATCAAAATACAATTTTTCTTAATTGTTTATTAAAATATATAATGAATACCAAAAGAATTCAAGTGAATGGAATTAAATAGAGAGTTGAAATGGGAAAATTATTGTGTGGACCACGGTTCAAAACATCGTCGTGAATATTATGATGTACGTTATGTGTTAGAATAATGTACATTATGAGTTAAAATAATATACATTACGTGTTTAGAATAATGAAACATCTGAGGTAACATAATATACATTATGTTTAAAATAATGTACATTATGTTTTAGAATAATGTACATTACAAGTTATAAAAATATATATTACAATTGGACGCATGAAAAAATAAAATGAAGCAAAATGACGTCATTTTTAAGTCGTGATCTACACAGCCGTGTGGACCACGAACCATGCAATAACTATTGGTTGAAATCTGTGTAGGCTGTAGGTAGCAAAAGTATGGCAAGACTTACAACCCAAACCAAACAGACTGACAAAAATATCATTTATTTTATTGGGGACCAAACTCACCTAAATATTACCTGTATTATCTTGTTAGTAATAAATTGAATAATGTCTGGGGGAGACTAGAGAGAGATGGCCAGAATGGCAGACTGACTGCTACAGTGTAGTCTGTACAACAGTAGTGTACTAGGAAGGACTGATAACAACTGATCTAATATTTAAATATAGATACAACAGTAAACTGAAGGCCCAACCAAAATTACAGGTATACATCCCAAAAAAGGCATTTCTTCAACAGACAAATCCTACTAACATTCTTAAACATTCAGAACCCATTTTTATATATATATATTTATATATACCTGCAAAAAAACAAAGCTCAGTTTACACATATTCTGCCTGGAAGGTGAATTCCACAGGCATGATGAGCTTCTCCAGGAATGCCTTCACATGGAACTAACTTTATGGCTTTATCTGATGATGATGGTGTGAGGTGGAATCTCTTCTGAGCTTCTATGAAGCTCCTGCAGAGAACCTCTTGGATCCAGTCTTCGACGCCTTCTTTTCTGTCGGATAGCCATGCTGCTGCGAGGATCTGTGTCATTATGTCCAGGTCGATCTCTAGTGTGGTGGTTGATCCGACGGTCTCCAGGAGTCTGTGGTTGATTTGGTTCAAGATTTTCTTGGCGATTGTGTCGAAATCGAATGGTTTGAAGGTCACGTTTCCATCCATTTGCTCCTTGAAATCGTCCAACCATGCTTTGGAACCCTCGGAGCCAGACCCAGACTCGCTGTTAGAGTTGTCACTGTCGTTGTTCTCCTCTTCCATCATCTCCTCCACGGGCAGGTTTAGATCGAGGCAAACTTTTGATGTGGTAAACGCCCTTTTAGAACTTTGACACGCCTCCCTGTTGGTGTCAGTCAGTTTTCTCTTGTTTAGGGAAAACGGGGTTAGAGTCCTGTTCCGAGAGGTGATGAACACGTTTGTATTCTCGATCCTGGTGCCATCTCTGGTGCGTGATCCAACGATAATCTGCATTTGCGAGTCTCGGGCTGCTAATACACTTTCTTCTGAGAACATGGGAGAATCTTTACCAGAAAGGCAGTCATTTTGAGCCTTTGGAACATTTGAAGTAGTAATCACAAACATCATGTTATTAATGCTGATTTCTCGCCCATGCAAATCCGGGAATTTACCCGTTTTCAGAGACTGAGACAAGCTGTTCTGAACAAGAAAGTCAGCCTTCTCTATATTTTCGAGAAGCACGACAGAATGCCGTTTCTTGCTTAGCTCATCAGCAATGTAGTCAACAACCGTCTTCCCCCTAAAATTCACGTAACGACTTTTCAAGTCGTGACGGTCAAAGAAAGAGTTTGCGGGGTGGATCTGATTGTTAGAGTTCAGATCCACAAACAGCAGGCTATCCTTGCTACCAAACACTTTCTCGGCAAGCATTCTACTAACTTTTCTTTTCCCCACTTTGTCGGGTCCCCCGAAGGTGAGCCAGATGTTTCCTTTGTTAGGGCCATGACCCCTTCCTTGTCCATTTCTGCAACAGGATACTGTATGGCTAATCGCATAAATTGCTTCATCTTGCCAGTAAACAATTTCGGAAATAGATTTATGCAGGTACTTAAAGTCCTTCATATCTCCTACCCGAGGAACGAAGCTACAAGAAGATTGAGTAATATAGTTCGAGGCATGCTCACTAGTTTTATCGGAGGAAACTGAGCCAGAGAAATACTGAAGGCGGTCTTTATGATGTTGTTGGAAGCTTGGTTCCGGAAGCTTTTTCTCGGTGGATACGTATATGGTTCCCAATCCTAAGTCCGTGCTAACGGAAGTAGTCAAAGAGGATGAAGTAGAATCCAAGGGAAGATGAGAAGCACCGGGGTTCCAGATATTCCCCGTTTTTGGCTGCTGAAGCTTCAAATCCTTAGCGGGTGGTTCCACTTGTTGCAAATCGCTACCATCTTCACGGATCACTGATTTGGATAAGACTTGTTTACTGGACGGGGAGAGATTTTGCAGGGACAAGGGTGTGCCGGGATTTTGATCACTCAACCTGCTTTCGTCTAAAACCAAATCTTTACTTTTGCTTTCACTCCTAGCGGGAGGGGGGGAGTGAAAGGTATCAACACCGGAGACGTGGAACCTGGCATGCAAAACATCGGGTTGAAATGACTGTGCATGATGATGAACACGGTGGCAGATCTCGTTCCACTTCTTCTGCAACCCCACGACTTTGACATTGAAAACAGCGTTGTCATCTTTGGCCTGCACTGCAATGATAAATCACATGTTCACACAAACGTTTTCACAGACTTTAAATAGAGAGAGCAAACCCTAAACTAGCTTCAATGACACACCTCTATCCCAACCAATCTATTGCTCGGTCCACTTTCGGCCATTTGTAACCAAGGAGAAACATTTGCAGGGTGCTGATCCGCAACTGAAGTAGCGAGTCCTTTCAGAAGAGTCGAAACTTCTTGCTCGTATTTCTCATTGCAGAGGTTGCAACGAGCAGGGGATTGACTTCTGCTGCTCTGTAGATTCTCAAACTCGGATGGTGTTGGGAAGAAACCAGCAAACGGAACAAACGAACCCATCAAGCTGTAACGATATCATTAGCACCCATCAGTGAGATATATCGTTTAGAAGCAAGAACATCCACTCATTGATCTTATTAGCATAACACCAATCAATCAGCACAAGCAAACTTACATATTAATTGTTGGTTAGATTCATTCAAGGGATGCTAATTATAACAAAAATATCCACCACAGAAGCCATCGAGCTTTCTAGGACACAGCAAGCACAGTTGCCTAAAACGGGCAGTTTCAGAGACATTGAAGCATGTGCTCCATCTCAGCTGATAGTTGAATTGCACATTAATGGTTATATTCTAAGCAGTTTCAGAGACATTGAAGCATGTGCTCCATCTCAGCAAGCAACACGTGGACCGTAGTCGCTTATGGGGTGACATAGAGATTCGAACAACATGTGCTCCATCTCAACTAAAAGCCTAAGCTGATAGTTGGATCGCACATTAATAGTTATATGCTCAACATTCACAACACGGAATACATCATCAGAACAGGAAAGTATAGACGAGAACACAACACAATCTCCCTGAAAAGTTAGGAACAGCATGGACTAGCAAAACAGTAGTTGTAATCTCGCCATCAAAACATGCGAATTCAGAAACTGTGAGCTATTCTTAACCTATGCACTTTCTTCCCAAACATGAAACTCACAATTTCAAGTACACTATGAACTCTAGAACCAACTTTTCCATTCCAAACTCATAACAACAAAAATATGTATGGTAGTATATAGAGACAATGACAAAGCATAAAGCAGCTAAAACACTAATTTTAACCATTTGATGGGCAAATAACATCCAGACACTCAAAGATAGTAACTTTCTTTGTTTGCAGTAATGGTAGGATCTATCTATAAAGTCATTATAAATAAGATTGTTTTATTCAGACATAAAAAGCAAGCACTGAAAGGCTGAAACTCCATGGGCATTATAATATAATATAAGATAAATCTGGAAAGATAAATAAATAAATATGGTGTAAAGCTTACCTGGATCTGGGGTTAAGTCCTCCAGGTGGAGAAGTTGAAGTAATGGGCAACAGATGCAAATCCCAGTCTTTCTGAACAGAAGGGAACCGAGCCAAGAACTTCATATACACGTCATCACTCGCCGCAGCTCCGACCAACCACAGCTTGCCACGGTGAACTTCCACCAATCTGCTCAGCTCTGACACCACATACTTCACCGCCTCCACTGCCTCCCCGTCAACAAACACCTTCAATTCGCCATAGTTCACGACGACCCCGGACCCTTTACAGCTCTCCACCGCATCGCTTACTTCCTTAATCTTTAAACCCATGATTTTTTCGCTCTCGGGTTGCCGGAAAAACTCGAGGATGTCTTTTCCGATGGAGATTACTCTGAGGCCGTTGATTTCATGCGGAAAGACGCCGTCTTTGCCCTTTTGAACGCAGTCCGTGAAGCTATTGAGGGCATCATTCGCACAGGCCCCGATTAGCAATGGGTTTTTGGAAGTTTTCCTGGCGAGAACTTCTCCGATTCTTCGGGAGTTCTCATCAACATTTTCGTTTCCCGGAAGCCTAGAAAACGGGAAATTGAAGGGGCGTCTATTGAACTCGGAATCGGGTAAATTACAGAAGAACAGAGGAGGATAGCGAGGGCTGGAGAGGCGGGAGAGGGTTGGAGGGTTGAGAATCGCGAGCTTGATATCGTAGCTCCGGAAACCCGCCTCTCCGAAGACCCGGCTCACAATCGGGTCATCGAGAATGGATAAGACGAAGTGTTTGAGCTCGACTTTGAGAGTGGAAATCGACGACGAAGCCGAGCCCTGGTGCTGGAGCTGCTGGTAGAGATGGAACGTGTCGGGGTGGCGCCGCTGGTTCGCCTGCGACCGCTTCACGGCGGCCATGAGCGAATTGGAGATCGGCGGCTCGTCTAGGGCTTTCGCCGTCGGCAACCGATCCAGCGACACGCCGACGGAGAGCTCCAGCGCCCGGAACTGCAGCCGCGGCGAGTACGCGCAGCTCCTCGCCCGCGCGCACGCCTCCCTCAGCGCCGACGACGGCAGCGCCAGCAACGCCGATACCGCGTGCAGGGACGTCGTCTGTGCGTGGCTCCGCCGTCGCGCCACCCCCACGGCGTCGTCCAACACACGCGCCGCCTCATCCGTCAAACATTGCCTGGCCGTGCTCACCGGCGTTGGCATCGCCGCCGGTAAGCCTGCAAAAAAAAAAAAAAAAACACTCTTTTCCCTAACCCCACAAATTTATATACACTCCCAGACACAGCAAAAAGGGCTGCCGCATCCGTCACTCAAATAAAATATATAACCATATAAAGAAGGGCAATTATATAAAAGAGTTTCAGTCCTTCTTTTTATAGTAAAGATTGCTTTTCCCACAACCCAAAGCTTTGAATTCGAAGAAAATTTCTTTAAAAAATTCCAAGGATGTACATTTCAACACCTTTTCTATTTATTTATTGTTGCAGCTTTAGACTATAACAAACAACTCAAATGAGAGAGAAAGAGATAGATAGATATAGAGAGAGAGAGAGAGACTGTGTATGTATATGTATATGTATATCAGTATATGTGTATGTGTATCTGTATGTGTGTGGACAGTGGGGGGAAGAATTTTTGTTGTGATGTTGTAGGCTAGGGCCACCGCAGAATTGCATTTACAATGAATCACAACTTTATAGTGTCTCACTAAATATATGATTTAAAAGAGGGATATGACTAAATTCAGACAATTAGTAAGCAAATTATTCGAGTAAGGTTCAAATGTTGAAGGTATATTTGATTATTAGAGAATCAGAATTAGTCACACCATAATAGAATATCATATGACATGTGTAAAATATAAAAAAGCATAACTTAGTCGTAAGTGCACCATCGAGCATTACGAGTATACTAACTAGGTAGGTCAGCACCCTACCGATAAAAATTTCAATTAGGGATTGTTTAGATGCACTGTAGTAGGTTAATGTTTTGACGGTAAAATTTTCAACTAGGTATTATTTGGATGCAACGTAGTAAGCCAACGCTCTAACGGTCAACTAGAGATTGTTTAGATGCACTGCAGTAAGTCAACGCTCTAACAGTAACAATTTCAACTAGGGATTGTTTGGATGTACTGTAGTAGGTCAATGCTTTAACGTTAAAAATTTAAGCTAGGATTCGATATCAATAATTCAGTTGGAGGAGTAGTGCGATTGGGTAGTGAATAAAATATGTAATTATGTGATAATCTCATGTTCGCTTTACTTTATAGTTTTATACAATGAAAGCGCGTTAACTATTTACTCTTAGAATATCGTATTGGTAGGGAATATCTCGACCGGCATAGCTTTACCCCGGTTGGTGTGCCTTTGTCTTTGTCTTCTTGTCTTTGCAGGTAACAGGTCGGGTTTCTTGTGAAGAACCCGGTCGGGGTCCGACCGGGAGTTGCCCGAGCGGCTGTGTCGACCACCGAGCGGTAGCCCTTAGGCGAGAAAGCTGGCGAAGGACACGTGGCGGCTTCATGCGTTGACAGGCAGGGCACCCGGGACGGCGACACGTGGTGGCTACGTGGGAAGCATGCCGAACGGCCGGATTTGTGTCTCCGGCTCCGCGGCTATAAATACCCGCGACAGCTACAATGTGGAGGACTTTTGGACGATCGATAGGTTGTTGTTAGAGAATCCCGACCGCAGTCAGTCGGTACTCAGAGCAACCAAGTAGATTGTACTTAGGACTTTCACCGTGATCAATAAAGATATTTACTTGCTTTGATTGGTCTCGTGTTCATTTAATTATTGCGTACGTGGCAATTAGCAGTATCACGTATATTTGTCATGCTTAACAAAGATTACATTATTTTTTTTTCAATATAACTTTATATTAACTACGTTATTATTAGCAAAATCATATATGCACGTATTATTAGCATTAAAAAATAACCGTTTAGAAAAAAGCACGATAAGTAAAATAAGATATCTAAAATTAATAAATAAAACAAGTAAAACAAGATTAAATGAGTAATATATATATAAAAATCAAGAAACTCACTTTGGGAGTTTAATTGTGGGGGGGGGGGGGGGGGGGGGGGGGATTGGGGGTAGGGGGAAGAAGTTGATAAATTTAGTGAATTATTATTATTGAGATGAAAGGGTTGTATGTATATATTTGCATGGTGGTAATGGGTTGGACATGCTAGGGTGGCTGCTAAGTATAGATTCTGGTTAGCATTGCAAAAAAAGAAAGATCTTTTCAGGTTTGTTGTTATCTTTAAGTGGTCAATTCTACTAGCTTTTTAAAAATAAATGACTCCTCATTTTAGAGAGAGATAGAGTGTTTGTGAATCTTCTTTTTTCATTTCTAAGATTAATGCTACCTTGCCAAAAGAAAAAAAAAAAAAAAAGTCATCTAATATTCACTTTTAACGCGTTAGTATTTTTTTCTAATGTTCAACTAACTCACGATAAGATTGATTAATCCACAGTTACCCAGAGAGAATAAAGTATTCTTTTTCTTTTAAGACTTGTAAATAATGTTCATATCATACATCAACGACATTAGGTATCATATATCCGTAAAGAAAAGTTTGTTCTTTTTTTTCTTTCTTTTACATGATGTGAGAAATCAACAATTACTACTCGTGGATATGCACGAAGTAAAACTTATTTTTGTGCAATAGTTTGTAAATTATATGAAATAATTAAATTGCACTAAGAAAATTATGTGCGATAGGCTCGACTAAAAAGTGTTAGAAAGAATTAAATTCTTAACCTTCTGATATAATAATCATATTTGATCGACTCGACTACACTTTTCGGGACAATTCTTTTCTTCTTTTGTGAAAAGGTAAGTGGGAGAGAGTGGGAATTGAGACATGAGGAGAGAGATGCTGTGCCCACTAGATGATCAAATGGGCCACAAATATGCAAAATAAATAAATAAAGAAAAAAATGGAGCACTAAGGTCACAATCAAGCTTTTTTCAAGCTTAAAGATGAGAGGTAGCTTTATTTTTTCTTTCCTTGCAATGAAGATAGTGTAGAAAGGTGAGGTTAAAGTGGGGATGGGTCAATTCCAATTCTCAATTTGCAAAAGATTTGCATGTGATCCGGTGGAACCACACACAATGCCTCATTCCACATCATGCAATAGTGTTGACTATGAATTAATTTTCTTTTTCTTTTCTCTCTCTTAAAGGTAAAATAATAGTAATAATATTTTTTAGCTTTTAATCAGCTTGATTGACGTAAGTAATCATACACTCTTATCCTTTAAGAGAGATCGGGAGTTTAAACTCCCTCTTGTATCTAAAAATCAATTAGGCGAGCATTTTGCCCCTTAATTTGGCCAAGTCAATATGAACGGAGATTAGTCTGAATATAGTACGGATTTAAAGGTGCCTCCAACAATGAGGGTTTGCTCAGGACACCTTGATAAAAAAAATATACTCCGTATCTTTTAGCTTTGAACTTAGAAAAATATTATCTGCAAATAAAATGTTAATTTTTTCTTTTGGATCGATTTTTTATAAATTATTTCAGATATATCGAATTTTGAAAAGAAGTAGAAATTATGAAATTTAAAAATTAATTCCTAGTTATTCAGCATTTAGCTTTTGCCCCATATATATATATATATATATATATATATATATATATATATATATATATATATATATATATATATATATATATGTATATATATATATATATATATATATATATATATATATATTGTGTGCATCCATCTAATATTTTTTAATGGTCTAAATTAGATTAAGTGTGTGCGAACGAGAATTAAATGTGTGCAAACGCTAGTAGCTTATTTTGAAACGGTACCTAAGGTAGCGTTCCAAAATAAGCTCTTATTTTAAGCTACGAGCTGAGTTTAGGAACATTACCAAACAGAGCTTATAGCTTATTAGTAGCTTAAAATAAGCTATAAGATCCTAAATAAGCTCTGCCAAACAACGCCTAGGTAGCGTTCCAAAATAAACTCTTATTTTAAGCTGCGAGCTTAGTTTGGGAACATTACCAAACAGACCTTATAGCTTATTAGTAGCTTAAATAAGCTCTGCCAAACAGAGCCTAGGTAGCGTTCCAAAATAAGCTCTTATTTAAAGCTACGAGCTTAGTTTGGGAACATTACCAAACAGAGTTTATAACTTATTAGCAGCTTAAAATAAGCTATAAGCTCCTAAATAAGTTCTGCCAAACAGAGCCATAATTTGCATACATAACTCATAACCTTAATTAATTTGTATACATTAATTAAGTAGTGAATTAGTGGACTACTAAAATATTAATAATATATTTTTTTTGGGAAAAAAGGGAGGGGTACCCAAACAGCTAATAGCTCACTCGGTTAGGCTATAGCGTCCGGTGGCTCAAAGAACTCCAGCCAATCATAGCGTCTACGAATTGCTTCCTTAGAAAGCTTATCAGCTACATTATTCATCTCTCGTGGGGTGTGATCACACGTGACTTCCCAGCCCATCCGAAGCCCTGCAATGCAACTCTTCACTAGAGTCGCGCAGGGGCCATGCGGCATTGTACCTCCATTGATCCACTCTATCGCTTGTTTTGAGTCGCTAAACAGTCGGAGCTGCTTCACACCACTTTCCCAAGTCCTTTTTATTCCAGTCAGGATAGCTTTGAGTTCCCCTTTAGTAGCATTGGTTGCTCTCGTTGTGTTGCTGAATCCCTTTATCCAGGTTACATCTGCGCTCCTTAGCACGCCTCCACAGCCTGTTAGCCCATCGTGTGTAGTGAAGGCAACATCAGTATGGAGAATCGGCCAGTGTCCACAGTCTTGTGTAAATCTTGGCTTAGGCATCCTCACCTCCTTTTCTCGAACGCAGACCTTACCTCCTTGTGTTGCTCGTAAATCCAGTGAATCTTTGTTCTCCAGTCCCAAACTTCCTCCCGAAACACTTTATTGCATCGCCATCTCCAAATCCACCAAGTTGTGAATGCGAAAAGCTCCCCCTAGTGATCAATCACCGGTAGTAATATTATTAGGGTTAATAATAATATTAATATATTATGGTTAATAATAATTAATATTAATATATTTCGTTTACTTTTTAAGTAGTGATTCTTTCTTAATATAATTTCATGAGATAGAGTATTCCTTCTTAGTTGTTGTCTTTATTTATTAGTGTTTAATTGCAATATATTAGATCTATAAGTTGACCTTCTTTGTAATTAAAAAAAAAAAAGAACGGGTGATGCAAACTTAATAATTAAACATAATAATTATTTTTAAAAACAAGAATAAACAGATAAATAATTTTGCAATTAGTCATGCAGTGAATGTTAATAAACAATTATTAACATTGAATAAATGTTAATATTCAATTAACTTTACTTAATAATCTATAAATATTATTCGTGCATCGCACAGAACAATTACTAGTCCAATTTATAACTATAAGTCTACAACTTTACAAACATGCTACTTACAAGTGCAACTACAACTACAAGCATACAAAATGAAATTTACAAAGTTACAAAATTACAGTTCATATATACTTAATAGT